TTTTTTTATTTATTTTAATTTGACCAGAGAGGGATGGAGCCAGAGAGAGAGAAGGGGGAAGTAAAAAAGCAAGCCACCAGGTCCAGGGCTTCAACCACAGTCAGCCATGTGAGAGTCCAGCGCTCTTAACCACCATGTCACCAGTCGGCCCCAGGACCTACCTTTAACAGAGGTTAAACTGTTGCCATGTATTGTGAAATCAGATCACTTTGGTTGGTCTAGTGTAACACTGGGCTAGGACAGACCTTAATCATGATTTGGTGTAAAAGACTTCTCAGAAAATGAAACTGAAGGTCACATATGAAAGAACACAGGGTTAGTCAGTGGCAGAAGCAGCACTGGACAAGAGACCTCAAGTCTCACCTTCCTTCCTGCACACCACACTGCACAAGTATGTGGAGGAAAAAGGATTAGTAGACCAGGAGAAGTAATAGTAACTGACACAGGGCCCTCTGTTAGTCTGCTATTGTATTGCTAACAAAAATATCTGAGACAGAATGATTTATTAAGAAATGGGGGTTTCATGATTCACAATTTTGGCAGTTGGGTAGTCTGAAGGCATAGGCCTGGCATAAGGCCAGCCTACAATATGGATGACAGAAGCCCAGAGGATAGCAGGTTCCTGCAGAGAGAGAGAACAAGCTGTGGGCAGATCTCTCTCTTACTTAGCAACTGGCTCTCATAAGAACTAACACCTTCTCACAAGAGCTAGAACTCACTAGATCTTGCAAGACGTCATTAACCTTTCAGAAGATATCATTAATCTATTCAGAAGAGTAGATTGCCTCTATGATACAATCACCATGAACCAGTTACCACCCACTATGCCTCATCATGTCCCAACATCAAATGCTAAATCATGATACGCTGGGGGACAAACCACTATCTAAACCATAAAAGGTCCTCTGTGGCAACTTTGTATAACTAGTAAGGTCAATGGAAGACTAAGCTGGATCCAATACTCTCCAAAAACAATTGAAAAGTAATTTTGATCCTATAAGGGCCAGCAGGTGGCATGGTGGTTAAGGTGCTGGACTCCACATGGCCAACCACAGTTCAAGTCCCAGACCTGGTGGCTTGCGCTCTCACTTTCTCTCTTTCTCTCTTTTCTCATTAAATTAAATAACAAATAAAATTAAATATTTTTAAAAATTTTTTGATCCTACAGTTATTACCTAATATTACAGTCATGTGCTAAATAATGATGTTTCAGTCAAGAACAAATCAAATATACTATGGTAGACCCATAAGATTTTAATAGTCTATACCATAAAGCCTGAATGTTGAGTAGGCTATACCAGCTAGGTTTTTATAAATGCAGTCCATGATGTTTACACAAAGATGAAACCACCCGGGAACCAGCAGTTAGCATAATGGCTATGTCGCTGGACTCCAACGTAGTCGACCGCGGTTCGCGTCCCGGACCCAGTGGCTTAAAACTCACGCAGGGTGCGTGTGCGTGTGTGCCCAAGATCCCAAAAGGAGAATGGAGGAGAAGGGATTGCGGCGTGACCATCCCTCCTGGGGGGGGTGATTTCTCGCTTTCTGTCTCTATGTCTCTCTCTGTCTGGCGAGCGCACACGCCCTATAAGCGAAAATCTCTCCAAAAAAAAAAAGATGAAACCACCCAACAATGCATTTCTCGGAGTTCATCCACATCGTTAAGTGACACATGACTATATTAGAATACATATATTAAAATTTAGAAGCAAGGAGTGCAACTATAAGAAAAAAAAGCTAAAAAATAAGTTTTCTATTTGTAAGCTAACCAAATTGATCTTTACAAAATTGTGATAAAAATTTACTATCTTCTTTTACATTCTTCATTTGTCCTCTTATACAAGTTACTGAAAACAATAACATTCAGGACCAACAGGTGGTGTGGTGGTTAAGGCACTAGACACTCCCACATGGCTGACCACAGTACGAGTCCTGGACCTGGTGGCTGCTTTCTCACCTTCTCTCTCTCTCTCTCTCTCTCCGTGTGTGTGTATCTCTGGTCAAATTGAAAATAAATGAATGAATAAATAGAGTTAAATAAATAATTATTTTTTAAAAAAAGAAAACAGTAACATTCATATTTTGAACAGCACCTTGGTTTGCAATCTGATACCACCTACCACATTCTAGGGAAATATTCATAGTATATAAGGTAATCAGGGGAACCGCAGTTGGTGTAATGGCTATGTCACTGAACTCCCATGTAGCCAACCACGGTTCGAGTCCCGGACCGATGGCTTAACTCAAGCACACGTGTGCATGCTTGTCCAAGATCCCGAGAGGAGAATGGTGGAGAAGGGATTGCGGCATGGCCATCTCCCCGGGGGGGAGGGGGTGATTTCTCGCTTTGTGTCTCTCTGGCTCTCTCTGTCTTCCTGGTGAGCACACACACCCTATCGCAAAAAAAAATAAAAGAAAAGAAGAAAAAAAGGTAATCTGAGCAGGTAATGCTATTTCCCCTTTCAGATAAGAAAGCACAGTCCTAAGAATTTACATCCTGGGATGTGAACTGGCTAAGCCTAAAATCCAACCCTTTCCACTACACTAAACTATCATTAAGAACGGTGTCTTACAAATAAGAAATTTGGTAATTTCAATGTTTTAAAAAATTCTGACTTCTAGCTTTGGCTTAGAATACAGTAAACAAGAGCTACTCCATTCTTTCATGGGGAGGGGACAGAGTT